AGAGAGAGAGAGAGAAATGGAAAAAATAATTAAAATACTGGAGAGAAAAGCTGCAAAATTAGAATCGGTAAATAAAAAGAGGAAAAAAAGAAAAGAAAAAAAATAATATAATGTTAAGAGGAGTATACTGTGGAACAAAAAATTTAAATATAAGATAAATATAAGATAAACGTAAACGGAAACATAAAGGAAAATTTAACCACAGCGAGTAGATGTGAAGAGGACAAGTAAGATTACGGAGATAAGAATATAATAATAGCGGAATCAGAAAGCGGAATGAGCATTTTATGTTTATTTTATAATGTGTAATAATTAATATCGTTTTTACTTGTACTTTATTATTAAACTATGTTTATAGATTAAATAAACATAAAGCATATATGTAAAATATGAATAGTATAATTGAATTGAATTATAATTGGAAGCTACATTTAAAATCGAAAAGCAAGAATTATGAACAAATATTATACTAATAAATTATATATTATTATTATATATTATTATACTAATTAACTATATTAAATTATTATTTTATTACGCATAAAAAAGATTATTGGACAAATTTAACAAATTATTTGTTTTGTCAGATTCTTTAAATTAAACTTAATAATTAACCAAGATTCTTTAAAATCTTTCTATGCGCGACTTTTATACTTCTCTGCATTTCTTCGTTTGCTTTTGCTTTTCGGCAAACTTGCCAATCTGTTATCTCTAGAATTTCTTTTCTTCAGAATAATCGAATAATTTCGTTAATTATGTCTTGTAAATATTTTCGTAACATCTCCCGATTATCTTGATCTCGTAAATATTGGTCATTCTTAAATCGATCGCATTGCTAATTGCCATGCATTCTTCAAGATCGATATTAAAATTCATCTACTAAGCTTCGATCGAGAAATAAGATATCTCAGAACGCTTCATCAAAGAATAACCCTATAAAAATCTGGCTGGTTTACAAATGATAAGAAAGAGTTGTTTTGAATTTACAAAGCGAATTTTATTCATCATCGTCGTCGTCGTCGTCGTCGTCGTCGTCGTCGTCATCATCATCATCATCGTCGCATTCGAATTTTTCCGCAACTGTTCTGTAGAATGCTTCCAATTTTCGGCAATGAGACTTTTTGTGATATGCGTGTGTATGTCCATACGACACACGCATAAATACGTATATGTATATCGCCGTACGGGTGCGGTTTTGCGTGGATGCGCGCGTGCGCATATTACGAGGATCTAAATATAACGATGGAATGCAGCGAAACGCGTTCTCGTTATTTTTAGCCAAGCCAATTCGAAAATACACCTATCGTGGATTAAATATAGCTGAGGGATGCATACGTGTGCGCGGAATACAGCGCGACGGCACACGCGAGTGATTATACGGAACAAATGTCATACGGAATGATATACAAATTTGTGCGTATCGCCTGTGGATATCAAACTATATTGAAAAACGAAGTGCTACATCTCCGATTGGTATCAGAATATCTGAAAATAGGAAACAATTCATAAATAGTCAATAGAATCAGTCAATAGAATCACTATGAAATGTAAGTTTACCGATTTATAATTAATGCGAGTGTGCAGAAATAAATAACTTATCATTTATTTCGCCAATAATTTCATCAATTACCTCTAGTGTATCTAGTGTATCTCAGAAAATGTTTTGTAAAATAATTTGGAAAATAAAATATTAAAATACTATTCGAGTAATATTATTCGAATTTGAAATCTGAAAATCTTCTTTTTCTCATTTCTTTATGATTTAAAGCATTCCTACGTATTCCTATAAGCATTTTGAAAAAAATGAGGGATGGAGTGGAGAGATATAAAATTAGAAAACTGAATAATGAGAAACCTCCCCGTTATACTGGCACGTGTGTTAAAAACTAAAGAGGTTACAATTCATGTGGAGGACGAAAACAAGTCCGAGAACGAGATGATACTTTACCGAGCAAACTCATAGCATAATCATCCGCAATTTCGTTCAATCTTGCAAAATTGCTCGATTTCACCGCGGGACGATTATCCAATCAAGAGCATACTATCTTATTTTATTCAATTTGATATGGTCACAGACGGGATCAACTATGATATAATAAAAATTCTGCGTGATTTGCGTTAAAATTCCAGAGCTAATATATATTTTTCATGGATATTTGGCAAAACAAATGATTATGTCGCCGACACATTTTTTTGTATATTTTTTTTTTGTATATTTCTCTTAATCTTTAATAATGGCCTGCGACTTGGGAACAAACCCGTGCATTATATTTTTTTAATTTTTATTTTATTACCTTTAAATCTTATTGACTTAATATTTATCAATGTTCAATCATCAATATTTATCATTTAATTATATAATATTTTTTTATAAGCAAAAACAGAGAGTTAAAATCGTCGCGTATTTTATATTGCCTATTTAGAATTATCTTGGAAAGTATAAACGAACAATTTGTCATGCAAAGTCATATACGACAATATGATAGGCAAAGGAGACATGATAGTAACAATTTTCGCATTTCAACAATTGCGAACGTGCAATCGCATCTTATCGCTGTTTCTTCAATCTGTCTCTATAAATTCTCGTCTCGATTTCGTACGAAAACAGGCCTCAAAGAGAAGAAATTCTAAGATCGGTCAATATAAGTCGCGACAGGCAAACGCGCAAATGCAAGATGATATTTCATCGGAACGTATTCGTAAGTGCAACGTATTCGGCAACGAATCTATTTAATTTTCTGCGTTTGTGAATACATACTGGATCGAATAAAAAACAGCAGCAATGCATCGCCACGAGTGAATACATATCCTACGGGATTAAATTCCGTGATAGTTTTGAACTTTTTCTTTTGGAAGATTCTTCTCGTCGTCTTGCGGAGGGATCGACAGGCGATTAATAATTTATAATATATAATGCCGTTTAAGTATTATTTATTTCTTTTTTTTTATATTCTCGCTTAATTATAAATAGAGATTATAAATAGATTCGGCGAGATACCGTTTATGTATGTACAAGCACAACTGAACACCCCGTCTAATCTTACGTTTACGTTAGCAATAATTTAACGGCATTACAACCTAACACGATACACTAATACAGATACACATCGTTAATTAGATATATTAATTATATACGTATAGACTACGTACAGACTTCGGAATGTTCTTATGTACAAAATAACTGCATGTGGCATTGCTGATTTTAGGATCGTCATGCTAAACTTAATTAGGAATGACAGTAAAATAATTTTTCGTTACTCTATTAAACATGATAATTATAGAAGTTCAGCAAAAGAAAAAAGACAAAATCAAACCATTATTGCATAGAATTTTTGATTGCACAATTGAGTAAGAAAATTAAAAGATTACACGATCGATTAACAGCTTGATTATTTACAACGAGAAGAAATTTTCTCCTTCAGCGGCAAGCAAAAGCGAGCTACTACGATCAACTTGTTACTTTATATAATTGTAGAAATATTAATCTCCATCCTATGCGTGATAATATATTTCATACAAATACCAATTCTCATTTTTATCTCAATAACACGACAATATCTTTTGCCGCGGCAAAACAAGAAGGATTATCACGAATCAAATCAAAGTTTAGACCTACAGAAATTTTTGTCTTTCGACCCTTTTTCTTTTTTTGAAATTGTTATTGAATCATCACCGTTTTTCTTTCACGAAGTGTTTAATTATGGCCGATATCTCTCTCTTTCTCTCTCTCTCTTCTCTCTCTCTCTCTCTCTCTCTCTCTCTCTCTCTTTCCTTTTAACGGCACCCGCAGCGATCTGCGATCATGTCTTCGTACATTTTCAGCACAACATTCTCATTGTCATCGTAAAAGAGAATACTGGTGCTGAGCAGTTTGGTCGGCACGCAGCACGGCCTCTCGACGCCTTTGACCATCTTGTGCACGATCGCCTGTATCGTCGCGTGATTCGTCGGTCGTTGATCTTGGCTGAGGGGTGGCTCGCACACACCTTTGCACTGATACGCGGAATAACCGGCCGGCGCGATTATAGAAGACGACAGCCCGATGTCACGAAAATCCACATAGAGCTCATGCCTCGTGCACTCGGTCGCATTCCCCGGTTGTCCCGATGCCATCGCATTCTGGTTGTTCGCTGAGCGTGCTGGCCGGCGACTCTGTCCCACGACCGTCGTTGATCGTCTCGTCGATCTGTCTCGCGCCGCCTGTTCCATTTTCTCGCGAAATGCCGCTCTTTCATAGATGTCCATTGATGTGAGAACCCGCGTGATCCCGCGTGAGCGATCCCTCGATACGATACCACCCGAGGTGATACGTCCTCGAGAGAGTGCTGCGTCGCGTTGACGGCGCCTCACCGCCGCTCCTAGAGGATCGTCGTAACCGAGCATTTCATCCTCCTCCTCCTCATTGTCCTCGCGTCTTCTCTTTTGCCGCTGGAAGAATTCTGGCTCGCGTCTGATCGCCAACGGAACCTCTTCGAGCTGACCGACATTTCTCCGTTGCCTCTTGTGCCTTTTGTAATACTTAGCGTCGTCGTAACCGTTCTCCAGATCGATCTTCTCTATGTCTTTCTCGTACGATACATCTTTTTCACGATTTCTCTCGTCATTAGCCTGATTCCCGTATGCATAATATCGAGGTGCGATTTCCGACGTTCCGCCAGACCGATCGCTATTATCATCATCGAAAAGCACCAATATCGGTTGCTTACTGTGATGATAATTGTTTCTACGAGAGAACTCCACTAATACCTCGCCCTCGAACAAATTCTGAATCGTTACCAAAAGGCCCAGATTCGGCTCGCCGTTCATCCATCCGAGGACTGCTTCTTTTACGTTGAATACCTGGATGTTTTTTCAATAATAAATTATAAATGAATTTATTAAATTTTGATGAATAAAAATCAATATTTTCTCGATTTAAAAGACAAAACTTTTACAAAACAATCTTAATAAAATTTTAACCAATAATTTAACGATCATTTAAAAATATGACAATTAAAGATCTAAGGTATTCTTAAAAATAAGAAATTAGGATATGGAAAAGATATAAGAGATTAAAATCAAATATTTCAAAAAGATTGTATTACATGTATAAAAAGAACAATTTTGCTGAAATCTCTAAAAATTTGGCCAGATAAAGATTAAAAAATAATTTTGTTATTAAAATAATTATGTAGGATTTATTTATGTTTTCAAATCGCATGCTAGAAGTAAAAATTTTTACGGTAATATCATCATGTTTAAGTATCCTACATAATAATTTTGATGAGCAAAATTTTAAGATATTTTACCGAAACGATTTTTATCACATATATTTAATAGCGATGAAATTATCATTACAAAAAAATGGATATTAAATTTTGATATGTTCACCTGCCAGCCGGAAGCGTGCGCGCCGACATAACGAACGCTTAGCAGTCTATGAAGATCTGGTACGTCGAGGTTGCGATCATCCAGTACTTGGTAAATTTTTATCTGCGTCATACATCAAAATCAATACAAAGTCAATACGCGATGTCGCCTGATTCGCGTGCATTAGAGATTGACGCACTGGTCAACGATGTTGATCGTGCCAGGCACTTACCAGATAATAAAGCGACGCGGATGTCAGTGGACGTGTGTTCCTCGTTGGTGTTTTTTTCCGGTAAAGATGCAACTCAGCCTCCAGTACCGATTCGTTTATCTCTAAACCCGAGACGTTGAAGAAATAAAAGTGCGACAGGGAAATATCTAGATGCGAAACAATGAGAAACATTTAAGTCGAGGTATTTGCCCGACAACGAATTCTAGAATTTCGCGAATTTGAAGAATCACGTTTATCGTTCATATTGATTCAAAGAATTACCCTTCTCGATGAAGCTACGCACTACTCTGGCGTTGTAGGGATTCCGGCCACGCGTAACTCCACTCGGATCCGCAATGGTGTTGTAGAGTTCCATCATGAATTGCGGTGGTACTTTACGATGAGCCAGATTCTCGTTCTGACTCCGAATACCGAGAATCTGCAATTACATTCATCACCGTTAATACGGAATTTAACATATATGTGATGCTTCGAGAGATTTATGATGTCATGGATAGAGACTATATCTCTCGGAGACATCATAAATATTTTCATTTTGCTCATTTCATACATTTCAAATGCAAACAGGACAATATTATACATAAAATTTAATTAATAATTAATAAAATAGTATAAGCTGTGGTGGATAATTTTTAAAATAAACTTTGATAGCAAATGTGTCAAGTGTTTAAAGTGATTCAGTTATCAGCATTGATAGTGGTGATATTATCAGTATTCTCCGAAGACGATAAATCATAAATTTGAGCCGCATCCGAATCAAAGAAAGAAAAGAACTTTGCGTTTGAAGAATCACGTTTATCGCAACGCGGAATTGTCGTTATTACCTCTTGCATCTTCTGCAGAGCCTCCTCACGAGGCGCAAGATCGTTATCCTCTGCCGGCCGATCGAAAGACCACGACGAACCTTTGAGTTCTTGTTCGAGGTCGTCTCTGTCTTCGACCTGGAAATCCGATTTCAGATATGTGTTAACATCGCACAGAATTGTCAATGGGAGCTGCAGCACTAGGAAGTAGAACGGTGCGCTTTTCGTCATCGTTGCGTTAGATCCAGATATATCGCGGTGAAAAAGAAACAGGATTCACTCACGATTTCACTAAATCCCGTTTCCTTGACCGCGCGACAGTTCACCTTTCAACTTTGGAAATTCGCACGTGAAAATCGGTCGGCACCGTTAACGTTGTCGTTGCGTATTGTTCTTCTGATTTATTCGAAAAGGATCTTTTCTCTCGATTGTTCTTATCGGCGCGTTGTTATCAATGCGGAAAAAGAATAAAAGAAAGAGAGAAGTGCCGCGTACACAGGAGACTTTACCAAACCGAACGGGATGCTAAGTGGCATATGGGAGGTTTTGGCCGCGAGGAGTCACCTTTATGCTACGCCGGGAGTTGCCTCCCCCGCAACTCGTTCGCCCTCCGCGATGTTTGGCTCTCTTCTCGCGTCTCCCTCGCCCTCGCGTCATTATCGTCATCGGATGGGAACTCCACGGCTCGACTTTACGAGATCTCCGTATTTTAACAACATTCGTCTGTCCATATTCGATATTCCTTGACTTTTTAGCCCATTAAAAAATCGCTCGCAAAAACAAAGATATACACAAGTGTAAATTTGTTTGTAATTTCGTTGCAGAAGTTGTATAAAAGAATTTCCAGTCTCGAGCAAATCGAACGTTATTATTTTAGATGTAAAAAGCTCTTTTAAATTTACATATAAAAATGCTCGTTAAAAAAATTTACGTTCTAAAATGACTAGAGGTAAGAAGCAAAGGTGAAATGCTTTCTCATAGACAGAAGTGACAATTGATTCCACTGATTGAGATTCATAAAGGACACGATGATTTATGAGCGTTTTCTTTTTCTTTTTTTTTTTGCGATGACCGATTAATCGGTCGAGATCGATGAAAGAAACGAGACTTTAAAAAGACCGAGAGATACGAGGTCGCGTTCCGACGATGACACTGCGTGGCTATTAAAAACAGCAAGCGCTTCTTAAATTCCGCGGATTCGTAAGTGCCGAGTTATGTGATTTGTCACGCGGTGATATTTAGGCAGATTTGATGTCAACGATATTTACTGCTTTCTAACGAGAGAGAGTATTTATTCCGGTAAATTTTTCTTGTCACTCATTTTATTTTTGTACAGTTTTTGTTTTTTTTTTTTTCTTTTTAATTCGCGATTTTCTGCGTTTCTGCCTGTGCTGCATTGTTGACTAATAATCGCGTTATGCAAATATATATCATTCCATTATCGATAAATCGATATCATCAGCCCACCTGACGAATCGTTACACGCCAAAGTCGCAAAAAATGTAGCGATAGAGATTTGCATATTATTGAGTACGTGATAGATCATATCATATTTACCGGATAATTTCTAATTAATGCATGATTGACTCTATTATAGTCAACAGTTTCTCAGGAGATGCTGAAATTGGGACAATCAGGCGCTGGAGAGAGAGATCGATTTGTCATCTTAATATAGACATAATGTAAGGAACAACATGAAGCATCAAAAAATTTGAATTTATTTTTTTTAAGTTTTCGTTATCATGGTAAATATGCGAGGATTAAAAATAAAAATGAGTATAACAAGGGAGATTTGTCTTATTCAAGAAAACATCATTGATTTATTTTGCGACATAACATTGGATTTGTACATAACATATCTAGGAACATAAGTATATGCGCAAAACAGGTCTGACATTCTGTCCTTCTTTTTTTTCTTTTTTCTCTTTCTTTCGTCTTCTTCAACTTGATTCGTAATCACTCGCGATGAAGTGATAATTTCAGTCTAAACGCAGGCACACTGAGTGATTTGAATTACTTCCCTCTTTGCTCCTCGTCGAGTTCTAAAAATTTCAAATGTGACAATGTTAAATATACTTCATATATATATATAATTCTTTGATTAAAATGTTGAAACATATTTTATCAAAACTTTCTCGTTAAGATAATGATGGTTCATTAATTGGAGAAATCGTGGAAGTGACTCTACCTATACTCGTGCACTTTAAATCTGGCCGGTGTACAAGTGTGTTGTTTCGAATACAGACCAGCTAGACATCTATATGGCTCTTTTTTGTCCCGCAAAAGACACGTTTCCGTCTCATTTCCCGGACACGTTCCAATACATTGACCGACATTTATTTGCTGTCAATAGTAAAAGAGATAAAAATTAATGCCATCAGATTGATATAGGCGATATGAAAGAATTTGTTTTAAGAATTTCGAACAAAATTGCAAAATAATATTTATCACATATAAGATTAACATTAATCGTAAATTAAGAGTCTTTATGCTAAATTTATTTGACTTTCTAGTTATTTTTTAATTTTTTTGTTGTCGAAAAATTAATTGTTGAATTCTCTCTTACTCGGATTACGGGTCTCACGTCAGTCGTGTTCGTGCCTTCTTGAATCGTTACCTCGCTATAATCGAGCACAGTCTCCATGTGGTCCATCCGATGACAATTACCGACGCAGCCACATTTTTCGACTACTTGGTAAATCTCATCACCTTGAAAGCGGCACGAGTCTTAATGCTGATATACTTACAAGTGACTTTGATTTCCAATTTTTAGTTTTTATTCAATTTTTAGTTTTTATCCAATTTTTAGTTTTAATTTCATGTTCATTATTGTAAAACTTACATACGTACCATTTGGTCCTTTAGCGCTGATTGTGTTATTCCGAATCGGTTTGCAGCCCAGATCTTGAAAAGCAAAGCGAATACAATCTTAGTTTTGTTGTTTTGTCCGATTTATTATACATTCGATATATCTAAACAAACTTTTTAGAATAAAATTTCGACCACGCAAGAATATGCCAAAGATAATCGTAGTTAGAGATCATTGTTTTCTTTTACATGAATTGGAGAGTTCTTGTGAGATCATACCTTTGGCGCAATGGCCGATGCAAATCCCAACATCCACAATTGCCTGGTGCGGCGTGCCGGAATGCACATGGTGCATATAGGATTCTCGTTTGCAGGACGTCTCTGGCGAACACTCACAGGCATCTATAGTCTCGATGACGCGAACACCTTGCAACGTGGACACTCGCTCCAGTTTTGCGGCTCTTGCACGACAATGGGAATCCGACGAACATTTCTGAAAGACAGGCAGAAGTATTTAGGAGTATGATAAAAAAGAGAGAGAGTACATAGTTATATGTACATTTTACGCACAGATTAAGCCTTCGATGTATTTCCTTATGGATTCTGCAAAAATTTGAATAGCAGAGAAGAATCATTTCAACAATTTTATGTTAAACACTGTCGAAAGGCACTCTTCAAGTCTCATTCCTGAAAATTACACGGAAGAAATAATTTTGCTAGAGTATCTAAAAATTTTGCTAGACATATGGAAATAATTTTGTTGGATTATCACAATAATTATATAAAACATTTGTATGATATGTGTACTGCAAAAATTTTTGATACTTTAGCAATAAATTTGAGCATCCTACATATTATTATTTTGATATTTTAACAAAATTTTTTATATCTGAAAATTTTTTAACAAATTTTTAGATATTTCAACAAAACTATTCTTTCCGTATATTTAAAGATATAAAACAATGGTATTGGAAGAATATAGCAAAAAAGTAAATATTGTAAGGTCTTAAAGATTCTTTTACGCAAGATTTTTTTATATGGTTTAAAGATACACTGTCACTAGTATCATGGATCATATCGGTCGTTTCAATAAATCTCTTTCCCTTTCCTCTTTCACCAGCGGGATCCATACAGCGTGATCCAGCGAGCGTATAATTTCGTGATTTAGTGGTTGAACGCCCGGCCGGCGCCGCGGAGAAGATCGGTGACCGATCTTCTATGCTGATCCGACCTTCGAAGGACGTAAAACGTTTTGCCCTGATCGCCTCGCGTTTCGCGAACAACGTCCTCACCTCGTCTGGTGGCTTTCCTTTCCCCGATATCCTGAACCATCACCGGACATATCACCAATCATCGCGCCATCGTGGCGCGTAGCGCGGCTGCTGTAAGAAATTGTTGTATTTATGCGATATCGAATTACGTCACGTAACGAAAATAGCCTTCTTCGTCTGACTAGTTGGCCGAATTAAAAATTCGAAATATCCAAGAAAATGTAACGGAAGGATCGAGCGTTTGTCTTAACAAGGAATCTTTGCTGCGTAAGTTGTTTGTAAATCCTAGCTTATTAATATTAATTATAATAACAATGTCATCTTAGAAAAAATGTTGCAATATAATGTTCATCAGAAAAGTTATAATTTCATTCATGACTTAAATAAATTTTACGACTTTTTCTTTCCAAAATACAAAACAAGATAATAATTGATAACATATATAAAACAAATAAATAAATAAATATTATTATAAATATAATGTTTTCATCGGTTTTGTCTAATAATATAATTTTTATGAATTTTATACATTTTTATAAAATCATATTAATTTCTTCTTCTCAAACTCCGAGAGAGACCGACAGACCGAGAGTATTATCGAGAGTAGATAACAAAATTTACATTTAACAAAGTTTCCACAATTGAAATTGCAAGATCAGCATAAATATTCGGCCGAATATTATTATGCCGTAAAAGTTGCCAACATCATACGATCACGCGTAACCGGACGTAGCCAATCCCAATTTGCGACCAATCCTGCACTTCATAAATCTGCACACAACGTTCCTTTGAATCTTTTTTCCCTTTGCATAGCTCTCGATGAGAGAGAGACAGACGAAGCGATATCACTTCGTCTTACCAAAATATTTCAGTGAAATAACAATAGAGATTACTTTTATGACAATTCTGTCAAGCAATCTACTCATCATTCTATTCATTATTGTCAATCTCTCAATTGTTTTTTCTTCAGTTTCTTAAAAAATGTACATATCATGTATATCGAAATACCGGCTTTGAAATACATATTGATCGACGCAAATTTTTTCTCGCATTTCGATATTTGCCTACAAGAATGCGTACATAACGAAGGAATGGCGCAAATCATATTTTTGGCATAACTTACGTGACGAATATGAATTGATCGATAGCACAAATTCGCATTATGTTACATAAAAGAACTGTTTTGTTGAAATATCTAAAAATTTGACTCGATTTAGATCTGAAAATAATTTTATTACAATAATTATGAATTAGGATTTTTAAACTTAATAATTATTTTCTTTGAATCTCAGATCTCTAAATCTTAGATAAATTCTTAGATATTTCAGCAAAATTATTCTTTCTATATAGGTAACGTCGATGATAGATTAGAATTACAAGAAAGTAGAGATTTATTCGATCAATCAATCAGTATATTATGCTTAATTTATCTCTCTAGATTATGTCTCAAATCGGACTCTTGAATTTCACGCTTGGTATCAAACGTGACGATTGAATTTAAAATTTAGAATCTTGCTCTCGTGTGTAGAAATTTGTATTACAACGATTTCCAACACTAACAAGCGATGATCAAACGTTGAATGTTTCGTTGAATGTCTTCGGATCGTTCGACAGAAATGCAGTACCGAAGTTGCGTGATCACGCATGACTCATCGAAGTTGAACGCACCTGGAGGTGCAAAAAATACAATGCGAAGCCGATTCATATATTATCAAAACTAAAGCTAGCACCAAATTATGCACGATTTATGTCCTTTAATTTTGTCAGTAAAAAATTATTAGCGAATTATATATAAATACTAACAAATAGCAATTTTGATGACAAATTTGTCCATTCATAAATTTTAATTATTCATAAATCTTATACACGGAAAAAACGGTTCTGCTGAAATATTTAAAAATTTAGCCAAATACAAATCTGAAAATAATTTTGTTGAATCATTAAAATTATTATGTAAGACATTTAACCAGATGATAATACTATAACACAAAATTTTTTTATATTCCAAAAATTTGAATGTTCTATATTATCTTGATGAACTAACAAAATTATTTTCAGATCTGCATTTGGCCAAATTTTTAGATACTTCAACAATATCACTTTTTGCTCTGTTCGCTCACTATTCTGAATCCTCTTTTATCGATAAAAAACCACTACCTCACAGCCAATTAGAAGACTTTTAGAGACATTTTTATCGATAAAAGAGAGTTCAGAATATTTGTCTTTTAACATGCAAAGTCTAAAAAATTTGTCTAAAATATTTGTTGTTTGCAAAAGAAATTTGCCGATCTCTATCATAAAAAAACAGCTTTCGAAACAGCCTTCGGTAAAAAAAAAAATATCTATTCAAAATTATATTACAACTTATTTCTAGTAGTAGAACCACCGACTTTTTATCTTACGATAACACAGTTGTCTCGTTGCGTCATCGACGATGAAATAATTTTATATTCGAGAATTTTAGCTTAATCTTATACTTTATCGTAAAATGTACAGAGTATATTTTTCTAATAATATCGGCGCAAAATATATATTTTTCGTATTGTAGAAGAAAAAGAGTATGGAAAGAGCTGCATACGAAAATCTACCTGCACCGCTGGTCGGCTTGCATCTCCAGGATCGTCGGATACGTGACGTGGACATAATTTTCGGCAGTGTCCAGCATCAATCTGGATGATTTCTCCGGATATCCCTAAACAAGATTAATTCGTAATTATATGCAACGTTTTTGTTGTATTTATACATATATACATATACAGAAAAAATCCGCAAACTTCAATCTAATTAAAAATAACTTTATTGCTTTAAAGCTGAAAAGATTTTATTGAGTCATCAAAATAGTTATGTTAAATGTTTAAATTCATTGTTGGAATATAACAAATTTTTGTAGTATTACTTAAATGTCTTATGTCTTAATTGTTTTAATGGCTCAATAAAATTATTCTTTCAGATTTGTATCCGCTCAAATTTTTAAATTTCAGTAAAATCATTTGTGTAATGTTATTGATCATGTTTTTCCGTAATAAATAACTAGTACATATGATCACATATTTTCGGTAAGTATGGCTTCATCAAATACATCTGAACGCAAGTGTATTAAAATTAAAGAGACAAAATTAAAGAAAGCAAAAGATAGGAGACATCGAAATAAAGAGGTAGCATCTAGAAAAAAAATCAATCGATCAGTTTGCGTACAGCTTGTTTTGTTATTTTTTTCAAACAATGAACTCAGAATGCGGGAGTACTTTGACATTGACGTTGTCATCGTTGCGTGATTCATATTTTCTCGTGATTTTTCACATACATATACATGTACACACACGCGCGCGCGCGCGCACACACACACACACACACACACACACACACAGAGCCAGCTTCATTTTTCCTTCCGCCACGCGCGTTGCAAATATTTTTGCACGCGTTATGAATGAGGTGTTTGACTACATGGCTGAGAATTCTTCGCGACGAAAGATAGTAACGTGACATCAGAATACGGAAAGAACAATTGTTAATTATAAGTCTGAAAAATAATTTATGTTAAACCGTCAAAATAATTATGTAAGATGTTGAAATTAATTGCTAGAATATAAAAAGATTTTGCAGTATTGTCATCATGTTTAAACGTCCTATATATAATAATTTTGATACACAATAACACAAATATTTTTCAAATCTGTTTTTCAATCTAAGCCACATTTTTAGATCTTATAACAAAATTGTTTTTTCCGTGAAATAAATGCGTGATTTATATTGCAAATAAGAATACGAGTCGAAGTTAAGAAAAATGTTATAATTGCCCATATAAAATAAAGTATATGAATCAAGGGACAGTTTGTTCAGTGGGAGGCATATGGCGTTTTAATCGAAATATTAATTTTAATTAAAGCACTAGTGAATAATCTTCTCCTTCGTAAGCAGTCAAAAGTCAATTGAAGCCAATAACTCGATGAGAGCGTCTGATGCGGGCGATGCGCCTTGCACCTAAAATTTGGACTCCGTTTAAAAGATAAAAAAGTATTTCATCTAGTTGCACGCGAATGTTTAACTATGTTACTCATTACTTTGTGCCGATTAAAAATTATTACAAAGATTTTATAAAGATGCTTTGAAATTTATTAATTTGATTAATTTACAAATTTGAAATTTAATTCTATTATTAATTTACGTAGAATCAAATTATGAATTTTCATATATTTTATATATTATACTTTTTTCTCTCATTGCAAGAAGAAATTTTTCTGAAACTCCCCGAATTTTGAATTTCATACAAAGACTATTTAGTTGCACAATTATAAATAGCAAAAAGTCAATTTAAATGTAATTATATTGAAAATAAATGTTTCTATATAAGAGAAAGGTCATCATCTGCAATGTTAGAACGCCTTATTAATCAATATGGTGTAAATCAGACGAACGTGTTCGCACTGCGCAGATATGCCGGATGTTCCGTTTTCTTCCCCCCGTTGGCACGTTTATTGATTAATCATGGGGCAGTATCAATTCATTATATCATATATAAAAAGAAGATCATCCTCTTCTAACTTATCGCTCATTAACAATGTTACATATATTTTCTCAAATCTTTTTCACAAACATCACATTTTCTTTCTTTTACACATCATATACACACATACACGCGCGCGCGCGCACGCACACACACACGCACGCACTGAACTGATCTAGAATTACAAAAAATTATTTTTGAGGCTTACCGTATCCGACATCGATCATCTTCTCATATCGAGCACAACACGTATGTTGTCGCGATTCTCCCTCGTTTCCTGATTCCTTTTCGCAGATAGCTAGATAACAAAAATCGCGAAACGATCACGAGTAGAACTGATCGAAAAATTCAAAGTTTGTGATCGCGACTAGGCAAGATGCGCTTCTTTGATGTAGCATTAATAATGAAGTATACCGTTATTACGTTACTTTTAAGCCGAATTAAAAATTTAAAAAAAATTTTAAAATTGAATTTAATTTGAGTTCAAAATTTGAATGCACGCAATTAATTTATAATTTATAATTTATAATTCAATCATCATGAAAGATAGCAAAGATTGAGTATGTAACATCAAAATTTTAACTCATTAAAAATCCATTATTATTTAGTTAGATATTTAGAATCGTCTTCAGCACAATTCACAAACACTGTAATTATTATGTACATGTGAAAAATTGTAAACTCCATTTCAAACATAAATTCATTTTATACATTTTTTATCATAACCGGAAGAATTCTTCGGAAGAATTGCGAATGAATGGATCCCAAGAAAAAGTAAAAGTACGAGAAGTTATTCACTTATATTCTATTTGTTCTATCATATGCTAAATATGTGGAATCGAATATGAACTACTACGAATATGAACTACGTGCGTTTAAACGAAAGGCTGACGAAAGGTAAACGAAGCGAGAAAGAAAAAGGGAGACCTAATCGGCGTTACCTAATCGTAAATTAGTCATACAAACAATGACAAAACCAGCGAGGATAGTCCAGCTTCTCCTCGTGCTTTGTACGCGCATATCGGTGTCGATTACCGAGCGAACAACAGAGCGACTACAAGCGCGCGGACGCGAGTGAAGTATGTCTAAATATGAACGATTGCGATCGCGCGGAAATGTTCACCGATCGGAAAAAAAAGGGGATCGACTGTCGTCACGATCTCCCTCACGATCGTGACGAATCTCGTCGCGAATCCTCGGAGTAACTACGGATGGGTTTCGGAGTATCTGGACGCGCGATATCGGTCTCTCCTGGAAAATGCGAACGGAGTATACGTTCGAAACGGCGACCGATCGGAGATATCGAAGGAAGAGCGATCGCGTATCAGGCTCGTGCTGATGCCCACGCGGCTTGCGATCTGCAAGAAGACTGGTCATCTACCGTAGCCGGTTGGGAGTATGTCCGGCTGACAACGGCGAATCTCTATTAATCTCGTTTGGTGGACAGAGTTCGCCTTGTGACGGATGGACCGTCCATCACTGTCTCTCACCGACCGGTCACCATCGATGATCGGTCTCGCCCCGCGAGTCTGTTTTTCATATTTACATCCCTACGAATGAGAGGAATGGACGGGGGAATCCGCGGTGCGGGAACTTCGCGAAGGAACGAATTTGTAGTCAATATTTGTCAAGAAGCTAGCGATCTTCTGTTTTTCTGCGTCCCTTCGTATATTCAACAGCGATTGAAAACTCGACTGACTTGAAGAAACCTTGCTATTTATCCAAAAGGGATTTATATTTACTGAATTAATATTGAGGACTTCATGTTCGTCTCCAATTTCTGATTGAGGGCTAATTAGAGTTTCCAATTTCGGGAATTTGACTTAAATCCATATTGTCAATATCATCGACTGTGATTTAATAAAAATTCTCGTGTCGTAAGATTTTATTTTAAAACCGAATTTGTTTTTTCATAGAAATAGATATTTAGGAATAGAATATTTATCGATTGTCGTAATAAATTTATTACTTGCGCTATTATTATCTCATCGTTAGACAATCTAAAATTATCAATAAATATAAGTAAGATAGAAGCGCGAATGGTTATGGTATCTTGTTCGCGATATGATTTATCTGACCTGGTAGTTTCTAGCTATTTATTGATTAGAAAATATTGCTTTTTAAGTTAGAAATTATTATTATTGGCCAAAAAATTAATATTCAGAAAAAGAATAGTCTGAATTTTACTAGTCAAAAAGACAAGTTAATATTTACTGATTAGTTTGACTTGACTAACTTTTAATTAATTTTATCAAAAATTTCTGGCTAATTACTATTCAGAAAATAATAAAAAAGAAATAATAAAAACTGATTAATTTTTTATCAGTTTTTCTTAGATATCTTTCTACTTGGGAATTAGATATATTCTAGACAGAATTCGTCATTAGACATCTAGTTGAATGAAATAAAAAATGCTATAAAAATAGTGTTTTATTTCTCTGTACTCTTTTGTCTCTGTTAACCGATATTTGCGTAGCTGGAATTCTAGAGAGGAGAAAAGAGATCAAAGGGAAAAGATTATCTTTCGACGATTTTTGCCATGATGCAGGGATATTCGTTCGTCCGGTTTCAGCATCAATACATCTAATTGCACTTCGCTCCCTTCATTACTATTTGCGTTGCCGTCAGAATTGTTGAGAGATCTGCGTGAGAGGTCATTATCATTACCCATAAATTACCGTGCGCGCGAATCTCAATTTTCGCTCGCCGCAATTCGCGAAGAGAAATACTCGACGGAACATTCAATGACATACTGAAAGTTGGCACAGAGAGAATAATGCTTTTTTTACTAAAGAAAATATGGGCAAGATATGGCTAAATTTTATATTTACTTGTGTCCATTGTTATGTTTAATCTTTATTCCAAATTTTTATTTCTAAAATTTAATATTAAATAAACTGAAGTAAATTGATTTATATATGGGTACACACACATACAACGCACACGCACAAATCTGTTTATTCTTATTCCTAATGTCTCCTCTATTATGCGCAGGGCCTTATATAAGCTGAATTTCGAAAAGCGCATATGCGCGCATTTATTTATAGTTCATGTCACGTATACTTTAACAAAATGCGCGCATATGCGCTTGACGGAATCCAACCTTAGTCATGATTTTTAAAGAATCAGAAATGGAATGCAAAGTAACATCGATTGATCACTCACATACAGGCACATGTCCAATTATTTGTCAAACATTTAGGAATCAGATCGCAATCTTATTGAATATAAAAGTCGACACGACATAATAGTACTGAATTAAAAGCACATGTGGTAACCACGAGTCAGGCCGGTAAAATGGGATGGTGAAAAAACAATTATGAAGTCAAATAGATATAATACGTCAGTCACAAACAAAGAGGAACAACAGCGATATAAAAATATTTACAATTTCTTTATTATCGAGGTATAAGCATGATGTCAAAATTCGATATCTTTTTGCAAGTTGAGACTTTTTTAGTTGATTTTTAATGTGTAGCATTTCCAAGACAAGTCTCTTCCCTAGAAAACGCTCCCTATCCAGGATCTTGATATTTTCCCAATCAAATTCATTGTTATGATTGTAATAGCAGAAGAAGTGGCAGTGTTTCTGTTAATGTGATTTTGGTGTTCAGAAATCCTTGTTTTTAATTGTCGAGATGTTTGTCTCACATAAGAGGCGTTGTAATTCTTGCAAGAGATTTTATAGACTACATTTTTGTGATTGGAAGAGAATCTTTTTGTGTTTTGATTAATCTTCCAAGCTTATTAAAGCTGAAGAAGGCTCCATTAACTTACGGTTAAAAAATTTTTTAACAACAAACTTCAACTTCAAAAAACAATGATATTACAATTGTGGAAGGAGAATCGAAGAAATTCTCTTGGTTTACTGTGCCTTTCATAACACAGATTGCGGACAGAATGAAATTAGCTATCGCCAACTTAAATTCTAAGCTCTCCTCCTTCAGCCGTAAGCTTGGATTAATTGATTTTGTTAATATTATATTATATTATGTTATATTATATTATATATATAATAATATAATATATAATAAAATATATATTTTTTGTAAAATTAGTAAGGACCATCAAAGTTATTGCAATCCCATGCAAAATTGCAATCCGTTGCAAACATGATGGAAGGAATATATGGTATGCGCAGTTCGACAGTGTCTCTTTCTAAATATCTGCGCTCTCCGTCTATTGCTTGTAGTAGGCAAGAGCTACCAACTCTTTGCTATATCAAACGTTTGCTATTTTTGTTTTTTTAATGTAAATTTTTTTTATTCTTCAGCAAAATGGCCAAAGAATACATGTGAACTCCAAAATACTCTATTTAGATATTCATCATGCTGTTTTAGAAAAAAAAACTGTTTAAAGTGTCATAAAAAAAAGTTCATTATAATTTTTATAATTATTACATATAGTATTTTAAGATTTATTATTATTATTATTTACATGCAAAGCAATTATTTACATATCAAAATATTTATGTAATCTATAATCATTTTTCTCATGCATATCATAAAGATTCGAAGTTCGAAAGAATGATCATTCGGCTGAAAATCCTCCCAATAAGATAATAAAGATTATAAATTATTCTATATTGGTTATCAACACTGTCATTGTTTATTTAATTTTTTATTCAATATTTAATTTAAGACAGAAATCATGAAGGTTAGAAAAAAAAATTACGATGCATTATAAAGGGAGCTTTCCAGCAAGCGACACAGTTGACACAGGGTAACAATGTCGCTATACGTGCTTTCCTTTACTACACAATACAACACATTTCAACACAGCTACGAAGCAGAGTCGGACTGTGTTCTGCATCATGACTGCCAATTTTTAAACTTTTATGTTCGTAGCACTGAATAGTGAAAAAGAATTCTGTCTTTTTCTGTTTTGAAATTAATCATGTATTTAAGGTTTGTTTAAGGCATTCTGTAGACCTATTTTCTAACGATAATTCGGTGTCGTTATACTGTTGTTGTGCAGATATTTTATATGATAAAAAATCTGCGCAACGACAATATAATGATACCGAATTGTTCTTAAGAATTACAGACTAGGCTAGCTGGATTAAGAAGAAGAAGAAAAGATTATTTCTTCGATTATTGCTTCGATTATTGACACTGCAAATATTTTAAAGGTTATGCTGAGAATGAAGCAATCAAAACTTTCAACAAATTTCAGCTAGCGTCAATTGGTAATTATATTTAGAACTAAAAGACATTCCATCAAGCCCCCAGACATTGTATTTAATTGTGACACAGTGTCTATCTGTGTCTTCTTGCTGGAAAGCTGCCAAAGTGTGTGAAACAAGAAGAGATTCAACATACCAATTTCTTGGCGCGAAATATATTCATGTTTCATAGTTGATAGCTCTTGTCTACAAGCAGTCAATAGACGGAGAGCGCAGATATTTAGAAAGAGACACTGTCGAACTGCGCACACCATGTATTCCTTCCACCATGCGCTAGGCGCAGGTAATGTACGTAGGTGAAAATGTAGCCAAGTATGCTGCTTGCAATCAACAACTCCACGCGTGCCTAGCGATGGCAAATGCGTGTCTCACTGGGCGGCCCTATCTCACCGCGCTGCAATTTGACTATTTTCATAAATTAATAAGTTAATTATTGCAAATATAAAATAATACAGAACTTTTCGATTCAGTTTAATTTGCTTTACCTGCATATGACCGCTTGGCCATTTTTTTGACACCTTGTATATATAGCTGCAGATGATTTATCGAATCGTTATAATAAGTCACAAAATTTCATTCACCTCGTCACACACACATATTATTGCAAATAAAAATTATATTATTTATATAATTATAAATATTATTTAGAAATTTACATAACTTATTATTTCTCTCATTACAAAGAAATTTTTGTATTACGTTTGTATTATTCAAGTATTTTTATACTATTTTTTTTAAATATCTGTATTTTAAATACATGTAACCATATATGATTGTTTTGTGTTCGAATAGCGCGAGTGTATTTAGATCCAAATTTCATTTTTGGCTCCGCTCATCGCCATTGCTATGCGCAATGATGCACCTTTCTTTTTACATCATGGCTGAGTTGGGGAGCGTGCTATTAGAACTATCGCATCATTCTATCCTTAATTTACATATAATAAGCAATAAAGATGAAATGATAGTGCTAATAGCGCGCTCCCCGAACGCAGCCCATGTGTACCCTTATCTCCTTACCGCAAATAACCATGAAATGAAATTTCGATCTGATTACGATTATAGTCCGAAGCTATTTTCAAATTTCGGTTTTGATTCCGGTCCTTCTACCGATAACGGTGACTGTAACCGTTTAAATTTCGATCTTTTTCGCTTTCGGTTATGGTTACGGATATATCTATTGTAAAATTTAATTGTTTAAAAAAGAATACAAGTATAATAAGTCGCATATTATAAAAAAGTCACGTTTATTGAAGAAAAAGTTAATCATGATAAATCATGGGAGGTTTCTTCTTGAAACTTGTAAATGGGCAATTTATTCGGAAGCGTCCCAGATGCGTACATTTTCAATCGAACATACCACTCACATTAGCTGATGCCTAGAAATTTTCTAGTGAGTCACCTATCAAAAATATTTTTGTTTAATCGATCATTGGCAATGTATCCGATTGGACCTCATCCATTTATTCTTATTATATCTATCTATAGAATACTCTACAGCGCGGATTAAAAGAACTACAGATTTATAGAATAAAAGTGCACTACTCTGTTTTTAATTTCAAATGCACAGGAGCGCGGAAATGTCCGCATCGTCATGTACATATGGACATGTGGGCTTCGAACAATTTAATAAGCTGCCATTAGAGATTTCCAATTCCTCCAAATAATTTTTGGCGGGATTTACAATAGATCGCAAAGTTGCAATAGTGGTCGTAATATTAGTCGCAACGGCCAATCAGAATGCTTTGATTGACTAGAGACACTATAATAAGAGACTGGTCACGAAAAAGCAACTTTTGATTGATCCGCCATCTTTTGACTATTTCCACTTATTTTCAAATACATTAACTACATTAATCTTAAATTGTAATATTATAATTTAAAAACATAAGTATTTTAAAGGTAATAAAATGTGTATATTTATAAAACTTTATTTTACATAATTATATTACATAATTATATTATTTATTAATATATTTATTAATATATTTCCTTTAATATTAACAATTTTAAATTTATTACTATTTATTTATTTATCTTTTTTATTTATCTTTTTTTTGCTATTTATCTTTTTCAACACAAGAGCAAAAATTAATATAATACTATTATATTACTGTTACACTATAATATTTTTAACTTTTTGATACACTGTGGCGGTCATCGCCACTCTGGCCCGACAAGCGCGCCGGCGCGCGCCGCCGCGCGCTGACACTGTGGGCCCGCGCACGGGAGTGATCCACGCGCTCGCCACGAGATGGCCAACCGTTTGATCATCTACTCGTGCGCACTACCCCTTCAGTGCGCACTGGAGCCCGCGCACGGCTTAAGCTAGCACTGAGGACTGACCGTTTGCGGTCATTATACGGCCCTTTTTACACGTTACCGACCACTATATAAGTCGTATTCCCCCCTCAGTGGCCGCGCACGCCATCGAGGGCTTCCTCTATCCTACGACGCGGCCGCGCACGCCGTGCCTCCTCTCGCCTGAGTTCTCTTCAGCGGCCGTACACGCCGTTGGACGAGACTCTTGGCACACCCGCCGAGAGGCAACCGATCGAGCCGCTGTCTCCGCTACCGGAGGAGAGCCACATCGCGGAGACGCCACCGGAGTACGCCGCCTCGGGACCAGGACTTCGCCACCACGTTAGGACCGCCTCTTCACCGCCGCCGACCTCGCAGCCGCATCCGCCCGTGCCCGAGTAACCTGCTGGCAGCCACCGCAGGGAGACCTTCCCCCGCTGCCGCCAGGACCAGCGCCGAGCAGACTTCTCACCGGCTAGGAGGACGGCGAGACACCCCGGCACCAACTCATCCCGGATCATCGGCGACTTCGCGCCGGCCAGAGCCTACATTGCCTCGCAGACGGAGGCCCCGCAGCATGCTGGAGGCTTGCTGACTCGCGCCAGGACCACGCACCACGGCGGGGCTGGTGCTCGCGAAAGGCGAGCACAGTGCTTCCGCGAGGAGCCGCGCGATTCCGCCATACCAGGCCGCACGCCAAACACACGGGGCATGCAAACTCCCGCGTCACGCCCATGATATCTCCATTCTTTTTTGTAGTCATACGTAGAAAATATACAATGAACATTTAAAGATCGCCTCATTTAAATCTTGAGAACCTGCACGACAACCTTCATTTCCCTCTCGAACCTGCCGCCATTTTCCGCTTCGCCTGAGCGTGGACTCACGGGGCGTGCAGGGAGGTACAACGAGTTGGTTTCGTCAAATCCGTTCAGACATCACGACTACCATCACAATCAACCACATCGACAACACACATCGGGTGACAACCCGCAGTGGCAACAATCACCATAACACAATTGTCAAAACGTTTCCTCTGTGAAATCAATACAATGACAGCTATTCACAAAGTTAGCAAGCAAGAACCCATCGCGGAAAAGCGTCAACAATAAATTTTGAGGAAATTTCGAGAGATGCAAGTATCGATGTCATGCCTTTTTTTTAGAAAGGATTATTATACATATTTATTATTATTATAAACAAATTTTATTACAATATAAAATAAAATTTAAGTAAAAAAATGAACACCCATTTTTATATTGATTTATCACAATTAATTAATTTATGACTATATTTTGTAATTTTAATATCTCTATTATTTAATAATATATTATCATGCTTTCCACGTGTTTAATACACATGCACAATACACTTAATCAATGCACATGCAAAGTAAAAAATATTGCTATTGATTAGAATGAGAGTGTATATTTCTTTCTTTTTCATACGATTTAGCCAAAACATGGCGGATCAGAGTCGTGACCAGTCTCTTATTATAGTGTCTCTAATCTTTGTGACTATCACGAGTATGTTATGATCACAGTATATACAGTAGCGCAACTTTCCCGATTGTAGCGTATATAAAAATGAACTGCACATGCGCGAGCGAGGTATGTAACCAATCAGGGCACGGATTTTCCGTCTCACTTCTTCTCTATAATTTCTCCATTTGTTAGTATGAGATGCCTATATAAACATTTAACGTTCAATGGAAAGTGGCGGGAACATACATCTCGTAGATGTTATAAAAAATTAATGTTAAAATTAAAATTTTAACTTTAATTGTTAAATTTCTTTCCTTATTGCTCTTTCCTTGGTTCGTATCGAGATGAATTGACTAGCTGAGCACGAACTAATGATTGATGAGTTGTATGGAAGAAATAAATAAAATATTAATTTATGAATATTAGAAGTTAAGCATCTTAATTGTTTAATATTGCATCTGTATTTAAATTTCATGTTTATTGTATTATTGTATCTTTTAATATGACATACTTTTAATTATATTAATATTTGTCAATATTTGTTTCTTCATTTTTTAAATCTATAATGTTTTGTATAAGTCTATGATTTATAAACTTTTTATTTCTATTATATTATTTCTATTCATTATTTACTTATTTCATTCATTCATTATTTACATAATATCATACTTGTACTTTTATATATTTTATAGAGTTAACATTGATGAAGATACACTAACAATATTTTTTTTTAAAATTATTAACAATTAATATATTATTTATATATTCATAATGTTTAAGTGTTTACATATTGTTTTATCTAATGTATTTTTTTTATTTTTTTAATTTGTATATTTGCATATACATTATCATATAATAAATTAGTTTTATATAATATTTTATAATAAATTTATATGTATGTTTTTTTAAATAATTTGTAATTTTTTTTATTTCAGATATAAATTGCTAATCATTATTAACTTTTATTTTTAATTAACTTTTATTTTTAAAAAAGTTATGTATAATTTTATTTGTATACTACGACAATACATAATATAATATAGCAATACAAATTGATAAAATTTATCTAAAATTATTTTTTTTATATTTAAAATTTAACTTTATTTTTGTATGTATATTTCATTGAAGAATATATAATGAAATAAGTACCAAGAAATAAATTTCATGCGCCTATGTACATTATATTCTAAACGTACACTGTGATGTCAAGTTAGAAAGAGAAATAAAGTTATAATAAAAAGAGAAAGTGAGGTGGAATATCCGTGCCCTGATTGGTTACATACCTCGCTCACGCATGTGCAGTTCATTTTAACAACGCAATATCAAAAAGGCATCGACGGAGAGTTGCGCTACTATATATATATTGTGTTATGATCGCTATTACGACTTTGCAACCTTACTGTAAATCCCTTACGACTTTGCAACCTTACTGTAAATCTTATAAAATATTTAACAAACCCGAAAACTGGACTAAAAGTCGGACCGAAAACTGAAAAAAAATTTTCGATTCGGTTACGGTTCCGGTCCATCAACCTGTCCAATATTTCAGTCCAATATTTTCAGTTTCGGTCCGACTAAAATAATGGTTACGATCCGGTTATCGATTTTGGTTTCAGTCCGGTCCGGATTTCTAGTTAAATGAACATAATTTCATCAATATAAAATGATGAAACTAGCTAAACTAAATAATTACCCTTATAAAATAATTATGAATCTGAAGTTTACAAATGTTACATATAATTGTAAAATCAAAAGAGTATTGTTTTTGTATATCTTTGTTATAAGCATCATGTTTTAACATACAATTATCCATTATCCTAAACTATTTATAATCATATTATTGTTCGAATATTTTAATGAAATTATATTCTTTTACAGGATTATACAATGTCTGCTAAATCAAGAAAAAGTTTATCGTCATGGCAAAAATGCAGCAAATGTCAATACTTTCTGATACAAGAAGATGTCTCTGAGCATGAAACAATATGTCCATCTTCCATGGAAAATTGGAAACATCCTTTCATTTCTGATAAAATTTTGTATAGTACAATAGAAATCTTCCAAACGCAGGGTACTTAGCTGTTGAAGTAATTAATGTAATTTTTACTTGTATTTCTATCTAGTATGTAATATTATTCATGTTGTAGAATTATCTAAAGATATTTCTGAAAAGAATGCTAATGATATGGTATTTATCTCGCAGTCAGCTATGCAATTATGTGATATTTCAATTGGATCATTGGTTGTTGTTGCAACAAAAGATGGAATAATTGTCAAAACAGCCTATCCAATTAAAGAGAAGAGTTTGATGAGTGTTTCCTTAACAAAGCATGGTAAAATAATTTTCTCTGTAATTATTTATCTAACAATCTTATTTAAATGGATGTAAAATCAACAACAGTATCATTTTTGTTTTAGCTATTGAACTAAATAATCTGTCGGGATTGGTGAAAATACATCCGATTCGTTCCAATATTCATATTGCTAAGGAAATTGTAATTAGTCAACAAGGAAAGTATTTGATGTCCAGTGTGGAACTTGATAATATCCTAAAATGTTTCAATGAGCATAAAATATTTACCATGGGTAATAAAATAAGTGTGCCATATTATGGAAAGAAGTTGATATATAAAATTATTGAAATCAAAACAGAGGAAAATAAGAAATCGCAAAATGAAACGGATGAAAATAATTTATCGAAAATTTTCGAAAATATAAATCTAATAGTAGATTCTACAAAAATAATCCTTTATAAAGCACTGTATACAACAAAATGGACAATTCTGAATAGTACAAATAAAGATGAAGACAGTGTGAGCTCAAATAAAAAGTATAAAATTGAAGACATAGGTGGATACGATGCTCTCATATCTGATATAAAAGATGAAGTTGCGATTGGCATTGGCAAATACAGAAGTGTTAAGGGCTTTAATATTAACAAAGGAATATTATTATACGGTCCATCTGGCGTAGGTAAATCCATGATAGCTAAAGCTATAATCTCGGAATATAACGTTAACACATTCATTGTGCACAGTTCGGATATTTATAGCAAATCCATTGGTGAGACGGAAGATAAGCTCAAAGAAATATTCAATAAAGCGATATCCAGTGCTCCTAGTATAATATTATTGGAGAACATAGATAGTTTATGTCCAAAGAGAAGCACCGCCAGTACAGATCACGAGAAGAGAGTTCTCACGCAACTAGTGGCACTTTTCGACGATCTATACAACACCGACATAGACGTGTTGGTGATAGCTACTACCACAAAATCAGATCTTGTGGACAGTTCTCTGAGGAGACCTGGCAGAATAGATAGAGAGTTTGAAATTTATGTCCCGACTCCGAATATGCGCATGGAAATACTGACAAAATTACTTTCAAAAGTCTCCAATACTCTTTCGCGCGAGGATGTACAGAGTATCTCGTTCGATACTCATGGCTTTGTTGCCGCAGATTTATATGGTTTGTATACCAGAGCGATAATCAATGCGATAAAGCACCACGAAAAAGCTAAAAATACGCCCAACAATGAACTAAAAGTGACAATAGCCGATTTTCATTACGCCATGACCATTACGAAGCCTTCCGCCATGAAGGAAATTCTGGTGGAAGTGCCGAATGTAAAATGGTCGGACATTGGTGGGCAAAAAGATTTAAAGCTGAAATTAAAACAAACTATCGAATGGCCGCTGAAGTATCCCGAAGCGTTCTTAAGAATGGGTAGGACGCCTCCTAGAGGCATTTTAATGTTCGGACCACCGGGATGTTCTAAAACCATGATTGCGAAAGCTCTCGCTACTGAGAGTAAAGTAAACTTTCTCAATATTAAAGTAAGACACTCGAAACGCATATATTTATATTTCCATTATGTTATGTTATATCACGAAATTGCTTGCAGGGTCCGGAACTATTCTCAAAATGGGTCGGCGAGTCTGAAAAAGCTGTAAGAGAGATATTCCGAAAGGCAAAACAGGTCGCACCGTCCATCATATTTATCGATGAAATCGATGCAATAGGTGGCGAAAGAAGTTCGTCTTCCGGTAGTAGTGGCAGCAACGTACAAGAACGTGTATTGGCTCAGTTATTGATTGAACTCGATGGTGTCATCAATTTGGGTAGCGTCTCGTTGGTAGCGGCTACTAATCGACCAGATAAAATTGACAAAGTAATCATATCATTTCGATGGTGTGATGAGATTAGAATTAATTTGAAAAATTAGTCTTAATTTTAATTTCTTTTGACAGAAAACACGATTAAAGACAAAACAGAAAGAAAACCTATCTTTTCAAAGTAGTGTATTAAGTTTTCCTCAACATTTTTATAAGATTGAATAAATTTTGCAATATACAAAAAAAGATGAGAAGAAACGATAATTTTCTTGAGATTTATTATAGACAAAATAATGAAGAGTAATTTAATCATCAATATCTTATATAAAACATTGTAATATAAAACAATGTAATTGAATATTTTAAAATTTCTTTTTTTTAAATTATCTTTTCTTGCCATATCTACAATCTTACGATCATACGCGAGCAATAATAATTATACTAATTATACTAACAATAATTATACTAATTATACTAATAATTTTATCAGGCCCTTCTTCGACCCGGACGATTAGATCGTATAATATACGTTAAACTACCGGACGAGGAAACCAGGCAAGAAATATTCGACATACAATTGCGAAATATGCCAATCGCAAAAGAAGTAAATATCGCATATTTGATCCGTCAAACGAAAGGATACACCGGTGCAGAAATTAAAGCGATATGCGATGAAGCTGCTATGAAAGCATTGGAGGAGGATCTTGATGCTGCTGTTGTTACTGAAAAACACTTCATCGCTGCATTTGATGCCATTACTCCCAGAACACCCGATTCCCTCATCAAGATTTACCAAGATTATATAAATAAAGCCTTATGAAAATCATGAAAAGATATAAAAGTATTTTTTTGTAAAAACAGGCCTCAAAAAATCTTTAGATTACAATTTTTTCTCTAATCTTTAAAAAAGAAAAAATCGTGAATAAACTAAGTATAAAGTTTGTTAAGTATAATTATATCTATAAATCTATCTACAAATCTATTAAAGTCTTTAATTAATTAATATGTAGGAAATTCGGAAAAATTAACGAAACCGATCGAGCTCTAATTCAAGATTTTTCATTTGATTTTACCCATGACGCTTGGTCTGCACGACTCTATCCGGTATCTATTTATATTTTAAATATTCTCACTTAAAAATCGTTTACGGTCATTTTTATCACTTACAAATAAAAATGTTTCAATTAACTTTCATTTGATTTTATAAATTTTTATGCAAATTGCAGGAATTCAATACAATGTCGTATCAACAATTTTTATTCTACAACTTTGATTCCTGTGTAATTTTGTTATGGATCCGATTGTTTCTTTCAAATCCGATTCTGTGCTATTTAACACGCTTGAATATACTTACATATATAGACATACTTTGTGAGCTATAAAAAGACTCGATTGAGGTCAATGAGACTGGAAAGGAGAGATCATATGGTTTATATTAATGGAATTTGAAAATCTTTAAGAGATTTTAGTAAAATAAGCTTTTTATATATTTTTTATTTTGTATTAATATCAAGTTTTAAATTACTTTTTTAATCATGATGTAAGCAAAATCTTTCATATGCAAATAAAAAAATGTATAGAATATATAATGCTAAAGGAAAAATATATTTTGAAAAGTTGCATTTCATAATATTCCTGTATAAAATGTGATTATAAGTTTATATATTTATTATGATGATGTATCAACAAATATATAATTTCAATTTAAATATTTCATCATCAAATATATCATGAAATAAATATTTTTATAAATTTTATATTTGTTTTATATTATTTGATTTCATTTCAAAAAATAAAACAAAAGAACGTTTTTAATAGAACAGATACATTTTTGGCATTCATCTTGAAGCCAGCAAAGAATACGAGAGTTTAATGTATGCTATGTATGCTTACGATCATGATCTCGAACGCACATTCAGATTATCATATAATTTATTTCTCCAATGACGTCGCGTTCGCTTGACGTGATTCATTATCGCATGATGATGATGACGATGATGATAGTGAGCGGTGGCAGTGAGTTTGTCTGGTGCAATAAACAGCAAAATACGTGTCAAGGGTAATTCTTTTTTAAAAATTCGCCCGTAAGGCATTAATCCGATAAAATCTTTTCTTCCAGATCTTCAGCGTATATACGCTGAAACGTAAATTTTTATCTGTAATATAATAAGGGAATTTATCCATGTAATAGATTTTTCATGGGTTTATGTTAAATATCATAATATAAGGGCTGGATATTCGTATGATTTTCGTGTCGCGCGCAGAGGGGCACCCAGGGGGCAAATTGGCGAGCGTCGAGTCGTTCGAGTCTCCTCGAAAAATTGGCTATCTCACTTTAGCTAGAGAGCACCCGATACGCTCGTACGCAGCGATGCTCCGCGACCACGCGCGATACAGAAAGTCTTATCAATGTCCAGACTCTAGTGATAATTGAAGAAAAAGAACGGGAAAGACGATCAAGAATTAATTATTAATCAGCACGGGTATGTCGTTGCTTCTGTCGTAAACCACTATCGTCTCTCCCTCTCTCCAGATATTTGTCGATCGCGTGTTACGAACGTCTCGCTTGGTCTCGTATGTTTGCGGTTTGCAGCTTGCAGTTTGCAGTCGTTATCGCGTCCGCGTTACACGTTGATAGAACCGATGGAGGAATGCGCGTGACGAGAAAACTGCTCGCTCGTCGGTAAAAATAAGGATTCGCCGAGTGGACCAATATTCGACGACGTCGTCGTTCCACAGATTCTTCAAGATCATCGGGTCGTGCCATGAAACGTCGCTTCTCGGCCTCGAGGAAGAAGACCAGAGTTCATTTCGCACTTCCGTGTTGACAAACTTACTTTCGCACGAGATAACCTCGCGGAGGACGGATTTCTCTGCAGCTTTCTGTGCTATGTACGACCATATATCCGCGTCTCCTTCTCATTTCTATTTGCTTCAATGTTAATTGCTTTTGGCAATTAACGAAAACATGTTATCGTAAAACATGTAAAAGATAATTGAATAATTCAATCAAAAGTGCTGCTGGTTCTGTCAAACCATAACATCTCGGTCCAAATTGTTGCAAGAACAAATTAACAAGATCGTAACTAAGAGAATTTTGTAAATAATATTGCAATCTTAAATATATGCCGAAAACAGATGAGTAAAATCTACTTCATCTGTTTCTTCATCTACTTCATCTCTGTATTCATATCTATTTAAATAGATTAATTTTATATATTAACAAAAGTGATTCTCGGCGTTACAATGGGAAACAATAGAGCAATTGAGAATCAGGGCTATAAACGCACAATTACATTTTCGATTTAAACTTCGTTTATTAATAAAGGTTCCAAACATTTCCACTCAATTTTGAGTTATCTTCAATGGTACAATAAAGTAAAGGTATAACTTTAGTCAGTCCATGAGCCCAACCATAAAAATTAATGATATATCAATCATGTTAATCAATTGAATGAAATCATTGATTAATCTTTAATGTGAGTATATGTATCTGTCATCTTTCATGTTAAAGATTAATTTTAATCTCAATTCAACTTGCTTTTTATCTATTTTCTCACTTATAAGAATTAAAGATAAAAAGAACTTAATTAAATCGAGATTAAAATTAAATTAATCTATATAGAAATGGACACTGAAACAAATTTTAGTCAACATTTGTTTTTGGCATTTATCATTTCTATTTTGATAGAAATGGATATTAGATATCTTATAAATATTGCAAAGATCTATAGGATAACTTTTTTATATAACTTTAGAGTAAATTAGTCTTGGAAAAAAATTGTTAATATCAATAAGTGCTAATATAATATAATATTTGTTTATCATGACAATTGTTTACTCATGAATGATTTAAGATTTAATTATTGATTTAAAGCCAATTTTAAAAATTAAAACTACAGATAATTTTAATAATATCGTGATTTTAACAGAGCCATCTCAGAGCAAGATGTCGTTGATTGAGGGAGTAGGCGATGAAGTCACAGACTTCTTCATTATCATGACTGTACTGCTGGTGGGATGGCTTGCTTGGTGCTCGACGAGTATAGCAGATCAGCCACTGATACGTACAGTACTTATTTTGCGTGACCGGGCGCCAATACATCTCTCTTCGGTTAGAACCAGTCGTCAGTCAACAAATAGTCTTGGCATCCAAGATATCGGTCGGTCTCGTAATTCAGAAGGAATAGAAGAGGAAACATCAGAGATAACTTCAAATATCAGTGATAATATACAGTCGTCCACAAGTTGTCCAAATACAACTTCCATGGGTAAGTATTTTTTTGTTTTTCTATTTTAGCCCGATTGTTACTTAAAATCTCTTTCATATGTTATGATATCAGAAACGAGCGAGATTACTCAAGAAGTCTCAAGAACAACGGAACCTACAGCGGCAGAAGAAGTACTTATCGAAGCCATGGATTCGTTCAATAGTTCTGATCGATCACTTTTACAAAGAACTACCAAGGCAGATAACTCTAGCTTGACGTTGGATCAAACTGCTAGTGGTACGTCAGAACTTATGTCAGAAGAATCAAACTTAACAACTGATGACAATAGTGACATTATTATAAAATTGAAATTCATAAATGACGATCAGAAAATAGTTACTGGAAGTCTCAAAGAAATGTTGGGTGATTTTAAAAGGTAATTTTCTATGTATTTCTATGTATTTCTATGTATTTCTATTATGAGATATTATTCAAATTTCAATTACACACTTTATTCTACGCCGCTAGAGAAAGCAATTCGATTTTTTAATCATTTCTTATTTCATGTATCTTATGATGTATTCATATATCTTACAGGAGGCACTTTCAAATAGAATTGGAAGCACACAAAGTGATATGTTTGGTATTTAATGGTCGCATATTGCAACCCGATACTAAAACCCTCGAACAGTGCGGCTTGTTTAACGATTGCGTAGTCCATTGCTGGGTGCATCAACCGCGACCAGCCGCTGTACCGTCGTCCCAGACGTCCACTTTGGACAATTCATCGTCCATTTACTTTAACTCTCAACCGTTCTCAGATCTACCTACAGGCACGGGGATGAGTTCTGTGCACAACGAATGGGATTTGAATCGGCTCTTAGTAAGCATTCTGATGGTCATCCTAGGTCTCGCGTGGTACTCACGGTATTATTACGCTCAAGTCTTCACCGCAACGACCACGCTCGCGCTCTACGCGTTAACCGCGATCTTTACCGTCTCGTTGTTTAGTAACTTCTTTCCTGATCAAGATAACATTCGGAATGTAGAATGAGATGACGACGACGACGATGACTACGATTACGACTACGACTATGACTACGATTACGATTATGACTACGACTATGACTATGACTACAACTATAGTTACCATTATTAAATATTAATAAAGGCACCTTAAATACAATTGGTTTAACATATAACGTAACGTTTGAACGTACCATGTACATGATAGGTGACCAAACGATAATCTTCGTCGTGGAGCATCCGCTTGTACATAACACTCAAGATCAGATTTATCATTGATGATAACGAGTTCATTACAATTGTAATTTTCATCTTTCTCAATATTAATCTCGAAGACATCGATCGCAAAATAGTGCAATGTATCTTTCTATTGATGTATGTTTCTGTCGAATCGTAATTGTTATACGCAGAAAATACGTTTAAATTGTCGCATAAATTTTTTTGCGTCATTCCTTGCAGAAAATCTGGAAGAAAATTTCTTTATGATGACAGCAGATAATGAATCTGCCTGCCAGTATTCATTATATAATATATAAGGTGTCTCGAAATTTAAGAGCGAATTAAAATATCACAGCAAGAAAATTATCAAAAAAATAAGTAAAATATTCATTTTTCATTTCAAATAGTAGTTTTTGAGATATAATGCTTTAAAATTGCTAATGTCAGTGAACATTTCAAATGCATGCTCAGTAACGCGGTCGATACCGCAATTCACGGATAAATAGTCATTTAACTATGATCGATCAACTTTAAAGCATTACATCTCAAAAATTATTGCTTGAAATAAAAAAATGACAAATACTTTTATTACTTTTTTTTTAGAACTTTTTTGCTGCGGTATTTCGATTTGCGAATTTTGGAACACTCTATATTTCAAATATATATATATGTGTGTGTGTGTGTGTGCGCGCGCGCGCACACACACACACACATCATATACATACACACATATATATTACAGATTATGTTTCTATTTAAAAAATATATAGTATTATCATCCATTAAATTTAAAATTTAATGAATAATAGAAATAAAGATAACTACGTTTGAATGTTGCGTTGAAGATGCAGTTCTTAAATAATAATCAATTAAAGTTGGCTTTTCATGAATTTTTATTTTATGTTCAAGAATGTAATAACATAATTAATATTGGATTCTGTTGATATATCTTTACTTATGTGAAAATGAGAATTTTTAAATGGCCAACTATTTATTATTTAGAAACGATTGCATTTTAACATTTATTCAAACGTAATCATTTTTATCTCTATTTCTTGTATACCTTATTAAATTCTTTTAAATTTAATGAAAGTTGTTGTACATAATTATTATTCAAAAATATCGTTTTGTAATGATGTTCATCACAATTCTGAAGGAATAATTCTAAATAAAAAATTGATAGATTATTTCTTCAATTTTCATTGTAATTAATTCTAAATTAAGATGAGAATCATAAAAATATTTTCTACATGTTATTATTTATCATTGTTTTCTTCAATTTTTTAATATATTATATTGTTGGTGCTACTTAAATAGTAAACATTTTGATTCACTGATTTAATAGAATAATTTTAGCGCATATTTAACATATTGTCTGTCATCATGTGTGAATGAACTCAATTTTATGAAGAATTCGCAGGAAATCAAACATTTTTTTTTTCATAATTTACTCTTTTTATCACAAAATATTTAAAAACAAGATTTTTTGCAAAAATTTCAATTCAAAATGTCAATTCATATTTGAATGATGTTCGCGAAAATGAGCCATGTCGCTCATATATTAATGATACATGATGTGACAATGTGTTAACCATTATAGGAATATGGGTAATTATGTCTAATAAACATGTGAGTTGCAGTTACCATTAGTGTAAAACAAATTCATTTGAATGGATTTTGATATAGAGGTGGTGTTGATATAGAGGAAAGAATCATTTGCGATCTCTGTCCAAAACAGCGAAACTCGAAAGCGTCAATGTTTACGTTATACGATTTGTACGTGAGAAATGATTGCAGTATGTTAATAAAATCAATCTTTTACTAAAAAAAAAAAAATAAGTAAATAATGAAAACTAGATTACTAAACATATTCATGCTGGACAGATTCTGAAGAATATACAAATATATAAATCTCACCAAAAAGTGCTTATGGTATAACAAAGAGACGGGCGCGCGATAAAAAAAAAAGGTATACTATACGTATACTATATGTATACGTGTGTGTGTATATATACATGCATATTATATGCATGTATGTGTATATATATATATATATATATATATATATATATATATATATATGCAGTCTGATTTATTATAGATATTATGTAATTTGTTAGAGTTAAATTAATAATTATATTACAATTGTTTTAGTTAATTCCAATAAATGTCTATTTATTTGATACTTTCATGATATAGTAGTATAGCTTCTCATTTCCTATAAATATAAATGTATCATATTAATATGTTAAAAAAGATTTAGCAATTAATTTTTTCTACACAATAATTCAAAAGTCATTCTTTGTAATAATTCAATAGCACTGCATAATGTACAAGTCGAGTATGTTAGTTAAGAAATTAACGTTAAAAGTATAATTGTGAAATAATTCTCTTTATTTTATAATCTATGAAATAATCAGTATGTAAACCTTCATAAAAAAAAATTATTTTAGATCACGTAATACCATAGTATATTAACTCATGTGTTAAATAAATACAAATTCGCTGTAAAATGTACACAGCGTCATAAAATTATAAATATCGCTTTGTAACGTGTCTCATACTGTCATTGAGACAAAAAAAATTAAATAATGTAATAATTTAATTTTTACTTGATCTTATAAATACAATGCAAAATGTTGTCCTTCTAGGAACTTAAGAAATGACAAAAATATTACAAAGTATTTAAGATTGCAAGTTTGGACAAGAGTTAGTGCTCTTCTTCAACCTATTGATAAAATAACAAATAACCTTTATATATTAAAAAGCAATTATGTCGCTTTCAATACTCGTAACGTTTGTTTGTCGAATGTGTTTTTCTCCACCGGTGTATCGTCCAATGTTTTGATAAATTTCTTCGAATTAAGATACAAATCGTATGAGCAGCCATAAATACCGAATATTAAATCGATCTCTTGTTTCAGACGTTTATACGTAATAGGCCCTAGTTTCGGATCGTCCAATAAAATTCTACCATTCGAGGACGACCCATATCGTGGTTGTATATTTTCCAGCATTACGTTAATATAAGAGGATCCTGATTCCGCTGACAATGCATTGTCATCTCGTTTAGATGTATAATCGGCCTGTATTTTGACCAACATGAGCCTCATGTCTACATTCTTGATTTTCTGCATCTCCTCGAGAATTATTGCGGCATTGGACGGCAATTCTGTCACGTCCCTCTGCAAAGTCTTGGTCGCATTCTCGATGAATTCCTTATGGCTGACGATTACCTTGGCTAAATTGCTGCTCGCGTCCTTGATCTCATAATACGCGATAGCTTCGTCAGAAGGCACGAGCCGTGCCTTTTTCCGTAGTTTTTGCACTCGATTAATCACTTCTCGCGCTATTCCCTCGTTGTGCATAGCCTCGTCAGCGGTAACGTCCAGGAGTATCAGTACGCTTCCCTCGCTGTGGGCTTCGTATTGCTTTGACAATTGTTCGGCGGTCGGGCCAGTAAAACTAAACATCAAACGCAGATCTTGTTCGTCAAGCTTGTGGCCCTGTACAACAATCTCTTTCATGGTGATGAACTTTTGCAGCTGCTCATCGGATAACTCTTTGATGGCTTGAGTGATTTGTTTGAACTCGCTTTTTAAGCGAGCACCGAGTATCTTATGATCTGGTTCGGCTCTCAAGGTCACACCGTATTTCTCTTTGTCAGTAGTAATAATTAATTTCTTGACATTGAGCTCCTCAAGTATGTAAGACTCTAATGAGACGATGTCCTTCAGTACCTCGGCATTTTGATGGATCACCACGATCTCTGGCAAAGGATATTTCGTGGGTATGACTCTTCTATCTCGCACGATGCGGCCGAGCTGAATGACGGACTGCATGTGCGAGACAGCCTTTTCCGTATTCTTGTCGATTAAGTGTTTACGTGCCTGTGGTATTAATTGATAATGTACACTGTTCTTATCTGGTACATATGAAGAAACCCATTTGAACAGCCGCTGAAACATAAATTCTGTTAAGAATGGCGTGAACGGTGCGTAAGTTTGCACCATTGTATAAATCGTCAAGAATAGAGTCGTTAACGCATTCTTACAATCTTCCGGATTGTCCTCACCCTTGATGCGTTTTCTATTCATTCTCACGTACCAATTTGTAAGATTATCTATATATTTTATTAGATAGGGAACTACAGTGTACAATCTGTAGTTCTTCATCTCTGACTTCAGGAAAGCTAACAACGACTGTGTGAAGGATATGATCCATCTATCCATTATATTATTGGAAGAGGAATCCTGGCTTTCATCAAAGGTAAACGTGGTCCCTGTCTCCTTCTCGTATCGCTCGATATTCTGAATGAGGAAACGGAACGCGTTGTACCATGGCAAGAAGACGTCCTTGATGATGTCTCTTACACCCTCCTCCTTAAATCGCAAATTTTCGGCTCTCACAACTGGCGAATTGATTAAATAGAGGCGCAAAGCATCCGCTCCGTATTGGTCGACCACTTTCATGGGATCAGGTATTAATTTTTTTACGTTTTGACATCTTCTGGCCATCGGACGCAAGAACCAAGCCGTTGACCACAAGATTCTTGAATGGCGCTTTGCCGAACAACGCGGTGGATATCACCAAGAGCGTGTAGAACCAACCACGCGTCTGATCAATTCCCTCGGCAATAAAGTCTGCTGGAAAATATTCGTTAAAGTCTTCCCAGTGTTCAAATGGATAGTGCATCTGTGCATATGGCATAGATCCGGATTCAAACCAGCAGTCAAAAACTTCAGGTACACGACGTAACGGTAGCTGTCCCGGCCGTTTCGATGGTATTGTCAGGTGATCGATGCTCTCACGATGGATATCAGTCACTTTTACGCCCGTCAATTGCTCCAATTCTGCGATACTACCCACACATACAGTTTCCTCCCTGTCCTCCGAGATCCACAGCGGTATGGGATTGCCCCAATAGCGATTTCTACTAATGGCCCAATCGCGCGCGTCGCGCAACCAGTTGCCAAATCGTTTCTCTTTCACGTAATTCGGCACCCAGTAAGTTTCATTGTTCGCTGTAAGCAGCTTATCTTTGATCACGTCCACTTTTAGAAACCAAGAAGGCACAGCTTTGTAAATAAGCGGCGTGTCGGTTCTCCAACAGAACGGATAGCTGTGCTTCACCGTGCTACTGACGACCAACCTCTTTTTAAATTGAAGATATTTGATTATCTCCCTATCTGCATCCTTGACATACTTGCCAACAAAATCGTGTACTGGCTCTGTGAAGCAGCCACAACTATCCACAGGGCATACCATTTCCTGATCTTTACTTATGATGCCATTTTCCAAGCAGCATCGAAAATCGTCCTCTCCAAAATATGGGGCTTGATGGACAATGCCAGTGCCAGTTTCAGCTGTAACGTAAGTATCATTCAATACTTTGAATGCACCCTTCTCTTTATAATGTGCAAAGTATGGAAACAGTGGTTCGTATGCCTTCCCCTTCAAGTCTACACCTTTTCTCCTATTTACTATAACAAAAGAACCTTTAAGGGTATGCAATTGAGTCTCCAATATAATGTAAATGTCACCACTGTTCTCATCCCTCACATCTACATATTCGAAGGTAGGATTCACACACAATGCCATATTACTGGGTAATGTCCAAGGAGTAGTAGTCCAAGCCAACATGTATACTCCTGGTTCATCCAACAGAGGAAAGGTCACAATAACCGACGGATCAACCACATCTTTGTAATTCTGACCCGCTTCAAAGTTGGACAACGGCGTGTTACAGGAGGTAGAATAAGGCATCACCTTAACACCTTCATATATCAAGCCTTTGATATATAACTGTTTAAATATCCACCAAATGGATTCCATATACCATGCGTACATGGTCTTGTAGTCATTCCTGAAGTCAATCCATCGTCCCATTCGGTTGACGATTCTCTCCCATTCCTCGGCATACCTCATAACAATGTTACGGCATTCTTGATTATACGTAGCGATGCCCATTTTGGCAACGTCGTCGGGCCCCTTAATATTCAGCCTTTTGTCTATCTCATTCTCTACTGGAAGACCATGACAGTCCCAGCCGAACCGTCGTTCCACGTGGTAGCCACATTGATACGCATACCTCGTGACGATGTCCTTTATCGTTCCAGCGAGAATGTGGCCGTAATGCGGCAGCCCGGTGGCGAACGGTGGCCCATCATAGAATGAATACTTCGGCCGATCTTTCGATAAACGCAGACTCTTGCGAAATACATCCAATTCTTTCCATAAGTTCAATGTCGCTTCCTCTTCCTTCGCGAAGTTAATGGTCTCTGATAGCTTTTCCATCCCTCTGGGAACTCTCTTGGCGAGTAAAACGTTATATCTTATTTATACCTTTATTATCTAACCGGGCGTTTCGGCGTACCGGCTGGAATCCTTGGACAGCGAATTGATGTAACCTCTGACAATGTGTCGCGCGAAATAGAATCCAGATAGGACTTTTATGCGCATGCATAAGCACGTGTCATTGAAGGCTAGTTATACGATACTTTCTGAACACTGATTGGCTGTAGGATAAGAAATTTTGAGAGTGCCAAAAAATCTCTATTCTGGAACCAATCATCATGTTTGAAAACTTGTTGGTGACACGTGATTTGTTTAGGCGATCACATGCCGATTTTGATGAACTCGTAGTAACAAACTCAAATATATTCAGATCAAAATAAATTCATAATCAAATAAATTCATATTTACCTTAAGATAGTTATTTACTAATCCACGAACACATTAAAAATAATTATCTATTGCCACTAAAATATTTATTATATGAGGTAAGTGTGAACATAATTATGAATTTATTTTGTCATAATATCTCGCTATTAAATTGATATTTTGTGATATGTTCTGATATTAATTATATATACAAATGTAATGTACAAATAGGTTTTGTATAGAAGCAGAAATAATTTTTTTAATAAAAAATGTATTTGTATGAAATTCGACATTGTTGAAGGGACCCAATTCATTTAGTCATTTGGCTGCGTTCAGCGAACACAACAGTTGGACAACTGATCATTGAGCGCTTTTTGAGCATAAAGTGATCAGTGAATAGTTTCCTGAACGATCTAAACATTTATTGACATACGCAATATGTATGTACACAAAACACAATCTTTATTTAAAAATGGTATATACCACATTATTGTGTCGTGCTATTTGTATTCACAGAAATCACAGTTCTCTTTTATAATTTAATAGTGGCTGCTAATAATTTCATACTTCTGGCTTTGCTAGATGATAATATTATAGAGAGAAATATAATAAGACATTTTGTTGAATTACAAAATGAATTACCAAATAATTTTAATGCAAGACGTCGTATACATTGGAAAAATGAAAATTATTATGAAAGAATAGTTCCATTATATAATAATATTGTATTTAAAGAACATTTTAACATGTAACATTCTGGCATTTTGAAAGATATTCCAAATTGTGAAAAATTAAAAGCAGAATCTTGGAGAAGAAACCGCCGATAGCCAAACCTGAAAAGACAAATTATGCGCAAAGTCTGTTATAAATTTTTGATGCTAGAAAGGCAACAGATTGCTAACAGATTCTGTAATATTTGACAATGTTAGCAAACTGCTGCCAGAAACCTGACAGAATCTGTTGATGTTCTATGCTAGCAGATTGACAGCAGAAATCGAGCAGACTCTACTGTAGACTACTGTCAGAGTGGCGACAGAAAGCGAACAGAATCTGCGCGACACAATTTGATGGCAGGATCTGCTCAATTTCTGCTGCCAGTCTACTGACACAATATCAACAAATTCTGTCAACGGAATGTAAGCAGAGTGGGACCTCAGATGAAGTCAGTACGCTAACATTTTCTGATTAAATCTGTTGCCAGTTTGCCGACATTCTGTTAACATTTTGCTGACTGGGTGCTGACATTAACGGTTTTTACTTTTGATTACATGTTTCAAATAAAATAAATTTAGAATAAAAAAATAAAAAATTTATGAACCCTATAAAATATGTCAATTTATTATAACTTGAGTATTGTTTCACAAATGAAAGTAGCCAATGAGTTAATATTGAGTTTATGGACATGGAGAAAAGCAGAAGATGCAATGGAAACAGATAGAAGCAAAAAAACAGTAAAGATATTATAGAAAAATTTTAAATATTTATTTTTATATAAGGTTCTTATCTTAAGATATCACGAGAAATATAGAAAGACCTATAAGAGCCTGATGCAATTGATATCAATACATTTTTGGCCTTTTTATATTTATCTTTATTTATCATTTAGGACGTCTTGTGTATATAAGATGTATGTATCAGCGCGCGCGTGCATGCATGTAGGGATGTGTATAAAATATATCACAGAATTTTAAATAAACTATAACAAGTAGGAGTTACATAATGGCTGCATTGAGTAGATAATACTGCTTTATAACAGTTATAAAAATTGTGAATCTGACTGATCTATATTCTTGGTTAAATATCGAAGAACAAACACAGACCTTCAAATTTTATATTTATAATTGCAAAATAGCTCTCTTTGCTGAACTTTCTTGATTCTATTTCTTTTGTAAAAATATAATATGGATATTTTTTTGAGATATTTTTTTATTACATTGAATAAAGTAAACAATTTTATTTTGCAATATGTAATTTTATGTATAGAATAATACGTATAGTTTCTAAATTTTATATTTCATACTTTTGTCTGTTGATCTTATTTTTAGGATATTATATACAAGTTGCATGTGATACAGATAAGGTAACTTCGGGATTTTCTATAACGAAATGTATTATGAAACTACTAATCATAATATTTATTATTAAAAGAAATTTCAGAATTGAAATTAGTTAAATGATATTTCTGTATTGTGTTTTCTGAAAATAGTTGCAAGAATTATCAAAGAAAACAATATAGCTACACAAGTAATAGAGTACAGGATTATTACATGGCTATATTCCATCTAATTACACATATAAATAAAATTGTTACTACTTACTCTTTATATATCTACATCTAAAATTATATGCATATATGTAAGTGTGTGTGTGTGTGTGTGTGTGTGTGTGTGTGTGTGTAT